TTACCTCGCAATCAGCGCCGAACATTCGGTTAAAACCCATGACCCACTCCCTAGCTATCCAATGGTAGGAGAATCCAAACTCCGCGAAAAAGTCGGATGTCACCTGTGCATTGGAAGAATTGCCGAATATACTCTATACAACGACACCTTTTATCTCTGCCCCGGATGCTACAGTGACTGGTACTACTACACAGGATACGCGACCGCACTCAACATAGTCTTCGAAGACGATTTAGGACAACACACTTGTTCTACTTATCCAGAAGAACCACAATTTCAAACCTACATCCAACTCCTGGTCCATATGGACGAATGTGTCCAGAAGTTGCGATCTAGTTTCTTCAAAGACCTCCTCACCTACAAACAAAATATTGAATTTTTACTCAACGAACACCTTCTTATTTATGGAAGTATCCCTGACGAAGGAAAATCATGTTATATGTATTCTGAAATTGCTACCTCCCTCCTATACGGACAATTATATCTCTGCAGTGAACACCAGAATACTTGGAGAGAACGAACCGGATTCGTACACTTTGTAGACATAAGAAAAAACCAGAAACAACCAAAATATTAATGTAGTATATGCTATGAAATGGAAAAAAACTAGAACAACCTCCTCAACCATTATCTCGAAAAACATATCCTATAGATCCGTACTACGGAAAGCCCCTTTAAACAAAGCGGCCTCAAACTCATCAACGAAAGAAAAATACAGAATGACGAAATCTCTAGCGCAGGATATGAGCTCGACCTCATAACCTACTTAAAAAATCAGGAAAAGAAAATCTCCTATCCCATACACAATCTCAACCAAACCTATCATAGAGATTACTTTTATAATAGTAAAAAATTTTGCGAATTTTGCAAGAAAATTTTTAGAAAGCTTTATTACAACAAACTTCTTCTATATAACAAGCATACCAATAAATGGACTCTACGAACCGACCATACACATTACCTCAAGATAATCACGAAAACAAAACGAAAAGTATTTTATGGATATTGATGCCACCTCTGCGATAATAAGAAAATTGGACGATAAAACCAGTTCAAAAAACATTTCCTCAATTACCACATTATCTATTTCTCCGACCCACATAACCTATTTTACTTTCTCCACAATTGTAAATCACTGCACAAATCACCTCCCCCTTTGGAATCAGATTTCGACGGATAAAATGATATCCCAGAAGAATTCTTCGAGAATTATTTAAACTAGAAGTGCTTTAGGAATCAATACCTCCTGAAAAATCCAGCCTACGCATCATTAAAACTGGATTAAGAACACTCGAATTTAACTTTATTAAAAGACACCTTATTCTCCCCACTCATATTAACGGAATATTAATCAGTATGCTAATCGACAGTAATACTGAAGACTCTTTCATCAGTTCGAAAATCGTATAAAAACTTAATTTACCGATTAAGTTAATAGAAATCCTTATCTTTGTTATTGTTTTTGAAGGAAAGTTCTTCGGAACTATTACCAAACAAGCCACAATTATATTTATGATTGATGGATATATCGAAACTTCCTTAATTAATATTTTGGATACTCCTTATGATTTAGTCCTAGGGTATCTATGGTTCGAAAAATATAACCCTAATATTGACTGGTGATGAAGAACTATCGATTTTTTTCGCTGTTTATGTTGATAAATCAAAAGTAATAATGGTATTACTCGTATAAAGAATCCTCTTTTTGGCAAAGAAGTTCATCTTAACCTTATTTAACATATGTTACCTAAAGAAGTTAAAAACCGAATCAAGAATAAGTTAAAATCTATTCGATGTTTTTTAGTGAAGGCTAAAGAATTCGTTTAAATTATTAATCTCGATATCCCTACCTGGGTTACCTTTGATAATTGTTTAGTTTTCAAATTATTAGAAGAGAGCGAGCCTTTATTAAAAATTAATCAATTCATTTATTATATACCTTTTAAAGAAGGAACGTAATTAAGGTTCTTACCTATATATGCATGTATAGAAGAAGAAATTGCTGCTCTCAGAGAATATATTGATGAAAATTTAAGAAATGGGTATATTCGCCCTTCGAATTTGTTAGTAGGATACCTTATTTTTTTTGTTCTTAAGAAAAATGGAAAATTGCGCATATGTATTGATTACTGAAGTTTCAATGATATTATTATTAAAGACATAGGATTTCTATTTTTTATAAGTGAATCTTTTGATCGTCTTGTGAATGTCCAAATATTTTCTAAACTCGATATTGTTAATGGTTATTATAATATCCGAATTAACCCTAAAGAAAAATGGAAAACTGCCTTTAGATGTTGTTATGGATTGTTCGAATATATGGTTATGCCTTTCGGACTAATCAATGCGCCCGTATTTTTTCAAGCCTTTATAAATTATGTTCTATGAGAACACATCGATGTAATCTGTGTTGTCTATCTAAACAACATTTTGATCTACAGTAAAAATCTTGAAGAATACAAGAAACATATCAACCTAATCCTCACCTCCCTACGAGAATACGACTTGCGATGCGCAAAAGAAAAGTCTGAATTTGCTGTTACCGAATATAAATTTTTAGAAACCATAATTACTTCTAATAATGTTAAGATAGATCTAAAGAAGGTCTAAGCCATTCAAAATTGGCTTATCCCTCAAAAAGTCAAAGAAGTACAGTTATTTTTAGGACTCTGCAACTATTATCGACGTTTCATTCAAAAGTATAACTTCATATCAGCAGCACTATCTGAACTTATGAAAAAACAAGTTAAATTCAAAATGACGCCCGAACAAATCGCCACTTTCGATACCCTCAAAAATTCCTTCGTATCTGTCCCAATTCTTAGAATTTACAACCCAAAATTACCTATCAAAATTGAAACAAACGCCTCTATAGCAGCTCTTAAAGCTTATTTACTACAGTTATATTTTGATAAAGAATAGCACCCAGTTGCCTACATCTCTCACAAATTTGACGCTACCCAGCTACAATACGCTATACATAATAAAAAACTCATGACTATCGTAGAAGCTTATCGAAAATAGCGTGTCTACCTTCAAACAAAAAAACCCTTCACTATCCTCTCTGATCACAAGAATCTCACTTATTTTCTCACCACAAAAAAACTCAGCAAACAACAAGTCCACTAGTAGAAACTTCTGTATAAATACAACATGAAAATCATCCATTTCAAAGAAAAAGAAAACGTACTTGTTGACGCCATTAATCGACGATCGAACCTAATAAAAGAAGTAGAACCCGACAAAAGTACTATCCTTAAACCACAAGAACGCAATATCACCATCAACAAAGCCCTCAACCTTACAAAACATGTTGTAGAAAATGAGCTCAAAGGAAAAATTATACAAAGTTATCAGCACAACACCGTTGCACAACAAGTGCTAAAATGAGTTCAAGATCCCCCCCAACATTTTAAACTTCACAATAGAATCATTCTATTTTGTGACGCTTTCTACATTCCCTCGAAGAAATTTTAAACAAAAATTATCTCTCAACACCACGACTCCCCCGCTCATAGCCACTTAGGAGTAGATTATACTCAAAAATTTCTAACAAAATCGTATTACTAACCTAACATAAGAAAACATATCAAAGAATACATTAAAACTTACAACATATACTATCGAAATAAGCCCAATCAACATAAACCCTACAGAACTCTCCAACCCCACAACATACCCTATACACCTTTTAAAGTTATTACCTATAACTTTATTTAAGGAATACAACCCTCACGAGACCCACTTATTAATTTCATCTTCAACGAAATTCTAGTTATCACCTGCAAATTCTCGAAAACCGTTATCTTCATACCATGGCATGAAAAGTTCGGAACAACCAAATTCCAACATGTCTACCTCCAACATATCTTTTCCAAATACGGAATCTAACACAAACACATCTGCGACCAAAATCGATTTTTTCAGAGCAAATATTAGCAATCAATCATGAACCAAACTAACATCAAACTGAATATTACTTCTAAAGCATATCCTCAGACGGATAATACTTTAGAACATCTAATTCAAACCCTCGAAATATATCTCCGATATTTTGTGAATTATGCGCAAACAAATTAAATATCTCTCCTCCCCTCTGCCGAATTTGCATACAACACCTCTTAACACTCAACCACAAAATTATCGCCATACGAAGTCTTGCGTAGATGGACTTCAAAAGCCTTTTTACCTCCCCTCCGACTAAAAAAAATCGTGCCTGATACTGAAGAACATATGGAAAAAATGAAGAATCTTCATAGTATCCTTAAAAAAGACCTTTAATTCTCTCAAGAACGAATAGCTCATTACTATGATAAAAAGCATTTAGAAGCTCTTTTATTAAAAGAAGGAGATAAAGCATATCTGCTTACGCAAAATTTGAAAACCAAACGCCCTAAAAAACTTGATTTTCAGAAATACAGCCCCTACACAATCAAAAAACAATTGGGTAAACACCAATACGAATTAGACATACCTGGACCCTCACGAATTCATCGCACATTTCATGTTTCTCTCTTGGAACCCGCTCCACCTAGACTACGGGAAGACCCAGAAAACATAGAAATCGAATACAACAATTACACCGAATACGACGTCGAAAAGATCCTCGAAGGACCTAATGAGAATAACGAATATCTTGTTCGATGATCTCTACCCTATGGCCCAGAAGACGACTCCTAGCAGCCAGAGGAAAACATCTCCCCAGAACTCATCCAGTCCTATCTAAAACAACCCGGAATGCTCGCTCAACAGAGCAACGCAGCGCCAAAGAAAAGACGTAGACGACCTAAGAAGAATGCCGATTAACAAAAAGCGAAAATCACAATAACATTCATAACTTACACACACCTAACGGCACCCCTCACCACAAATACACCCCCTTATGCACCACTAGTGCAACCAATCTAAATCAGCCTCCCTAACCTCCCAGCATCGAAGAAGCTCACCTAGAACTTCTCATTAAGCAAGCCACGCCAACAGAAAAGCACGCAACAAACAAATTCCCCCAAACAAAAAAACAATATTAAAAGTCAGAGACTCCACGAACGCAAGAAGAAACTCTCAACAAGGCATTTTGTTTAAAATTAAAAAAAGTTACGAATACAAGAAAGAATCAAGCAAAATTGTTTTAAACATCCCCATAAATACCCTCCATAAAATTTTCCATCGAAAACTCTTCCCCCCTTCGAAAAAACACAAAAGGATTCCCTATATCCACAGAACCCGCAAAATAACTCAAAGGTTCCATAGCAGCCCCCAGAACCTCCTCCAAAATCACCTCCCCATTATCTACCCACTCAGAACCTAAATCCCACACATTGCTTTTGAGATAATTCAATTATTCTTGTATACCTAGATCCCCTTTATCAACCTCCTCTAATAAATCCTCTTCTATGAGTAAAGCTTTTGCATGTGTTAAGCTCTTACGATACTTCTCAGTAATAATGGACAACTCTTGTTGATAACGCTTTAACTCCGTCGCCGCCTTATAAAACTCGGTAAGAAATACTGATAACTTATTTTGATTTTTTGCTAATTTGTTTTAATCATCTTGAACTATTTACTAGATATTTTCGAACTTTCCCATAATTTCATAAAGCTGTTAAATTTTCAAAACTCTTACCTCAAAAATCTGTATTACTAACAAATATATTAGCACGCACCCATAAAAGAATCTATGATAAAAACACTCACATGGAATCGCATTGTATTTTCCCTTCTTATGCTTAACACATATGGAATAACTTTTAAAGCCCTCCATCATCTCACACAAATGACTGTTTCACTTACAAAACGAACACGTTTTTGCCGCTATAACGCCGAAATGTTCAAAATCTTCAAGAATTTGATGAGCCCACTCTTTCCGGGATTCGTTGGCTGTTTTATTTTTTTTTCAATGTTTCTGAACTCCCTTTCTAAATATAGCAAATATAAAAAATATGTTGATTGTGTACTTTAAAAAATATTTAATAATTTAAGTTTGATTTTGTTTTTATTGTTTTAAACTGATATTCTTATATATGTATTTGTTTATATAATCCTATACAACACAGAATTGTATTATAATTTTGTTTCCATAAAAAACCAACAAAATTATAACAGTAGTATTCCCTTATAGAAATTCCCGTATCAAAAAACCCCCTATTTGATTCTCCCGTACAATATTTTTCCCGTATACAATTTTATCCCACGCGAAATTCCCCTCACAAACCCAACACCCCATATAGACTATTTCCCCGTCTACAAGAAGATCCCGCACGAGAATTTTATATAACGAAGTTTCCCTTAAAGAAGAAGATAATATCACAGCCCAACCATATTAACTAACCCAATTAAGAAATATATCTTAACACAACAAACATACTTCTTGTTTCTACCTCTCTTTATCTCACAAAAATGTTTTAATTATAATTATTCGAATTCTTCAGATTGAGAGTTTATACGCCTGTTTTCTGCCTCATATACAAATATATTATGAAACAACACATTTCTTATTTTAACTAACAGGCAAAAATGTTTGACACTAACCCGTCATGCAATATTTAACGCCAAATCTTTTTTTTGTTGAACATGTCGACTAGTCGACTATCGACAATATCGACAAGTCGACCAAACATCTATTATATATCTAGTCACTCATTTATAGGAAACTTCATCATATATTTAAAGACCTTTAAACAATAGCAATTCTCAGTTTATCTTAGAACTCCATCAATCAACTTATCAACTTAATTTACAACCTACTTAAACAATATTTAGTCTCACAATTAATTACTATATTACACTTTTTATTCATATAACTTTATATCTTCACCCTGAATATTATACTACCCTCTGAAAGATCTGAATATATAAAATTGAAAAACACAGCAAAATGCTAAGCTGTTTTAGGAAACCTTGCCAAGGAATCCTGGGACAGGTGTAACAGTTGTATGAATAGAAAGTGTAACACAGTAATTAGCTGTAAGACTAAATACTGTTCAAGTAGATTATAAACTAAGTTGATAAGTTGACCAATAAAGTTCCAAGATAAACTAAGAACTACCATCGTTCAAAAATCTTTAAATACATAATGAAGTTTCCTACAAATAAGTAACTAAACATATAACAAATGTTTAATCAACTTGTCGATATTGTCGACAGTTGACCAGTCGACATATTCGATAAAGAAAAAACTTGGTGTTGAACATTACATAATGGACCAATATCAAACATTTCCGTCTATCAGTTAAAACAAGAAATATATTGTTCCACAACACATTTATACATAAGGCAGAAAATAGGCGTATAAACTCTTAATTTGAAAAATCTGAATAATTATAACTAAAACATTCTTATGAGATAAAGAAAAGCAGAAATAAGAAACATATTTATCACGCCAAGATATATTTCCTAATCAAATTAATCAATATGGCTGAGCCGTAACACTATCTCCTTCTTCAAAAAAAACTTCGTCATATAAAATTCTTATACAAAATCTTCTTGTAGACGGGGAAATAGTTCATATGAAGTATTAGGTTTATGAAGGGAATTTTGTGTGGAACAAAATTGTATACGGGAAAAATACCGTACGAAAGAATCAAACAGGGGGTTTTCTAACACGGGAATTCCCACAAAGGAATACTACCATTATAATTTTGTTGGTTTTTTATAAAAACAAAATTGTAGTACAATTCTATGCCATACAAAATTATATAAGTAGGTACATATATAAGAATATCAGTTTAAAGCAGTAAGAACGAAATCAAATTTAAACCATTAAATATTCTTCAAAGTGTACAATCAATATATCTTTTATACTTGCTATGTTCAGAAAGGGAGTTCAGAAACATTGAAAAGAAAATAAAATGGCCAACGAATCCTGGAAAGAGTGGGCTCGTTAAATTCTTGAAAATTTCGAATATTTCGACATTATAGCAACAGAAGCGTATTCGTTTTGTAAGCGGGGCGATCATTCGTGTGAGATGATAAAAAGCTTTAAAAGTTGTTCCATATGCGTCAAGCATAGGAAGGGAAAATGCAATGCGATTCCATATAAATATTTTTGTCGTAGATCCTTCTACGAGTACGTGCTGATATATTTGCCAGTAGCACGGATTTCTAAAGTAAGAGTTTCGAAAATTTAACAACTTCATGAAATTATGGGAAGGCTTGAAAATATCTAGTAAACAATCCAAGATAATTAAAACAAATTGGCAAAAAGTCAAAATAAGTTATTGGTGTTTTTTGCTGAGTTCCACAAGGCGGCGGCAGAATTGAAGTGTTATCAACAAAAATTGTCCATTATTACTAAAAAGCATCGTAAAAGCTTAGCACATGCAGAAGCTTTACTCATGGAAGAGGATCCATTAAAGGAAGTTGATGGAAAAGATCTAGGTATATAAGAACAATTGAATTATCTCAAAAGCGATGTATAAGATTTAGGTCCTGAATAGGTAGATAATGGGGAGGCGATTTCGGAGGAAATCCTAGAGGCTGCCATGGAATTTTTAAGTTATTTCGCGGGTTCTATAGACATAGGGAATTTTTTCGCGTTCTTTCGAAGAAGGGAAGAATTTTCAATAGAAAATTTTATAAAGGGTATTTATGGGGATGTTCAAAACAATCTTACTTGATTCCTTCTTGTATTCGTAATTCTTTTCAATTTCAAATAAAATGCCTTGTCGAGAGTTTCTTCTTGCGTTTGCGGAGTCTTTGATTTCTAATATCGTTTTTTTGTTTGGGGGAATTTGTTCGTTGCGTGCTTTTTTGTTGGCGTGGCTTGTTTAACGAGAAGTTCTAGGTGAGCTTTTTCGATGTTGGGAGGTTAGGGAGACTGATTTAGATTGGTTGCATTAGTGGTGTATAAGGGGGTGTATTTGTGGTGAGGGGTGCTGTTAGGTGTGTGTAAGCCATGAATGTTATTGTGATTTTCGCTTCTTGCTAATCGGTATTTTTCCTAGGTCGTCCACGTCTTTTCTTTGGCGCTGCGTTGCCCTGCTGAGCGAGTATTTTGGGTTGTTTTAGATAGGACTGGATGAGTTTTGGGGAGATGTTTTCTTCTGGCTGCTAGGAGTCGTCTTCTGGGCTATAGGGTAGAGACCATTGAACAAGATATTTGTTATTCTCATTAGGTCCTTCAAAGATCTTTTCGACGTCATATTCGGTGTAATCGTTGTATTTGATTTCCATATTTTCTGGGTCTTCCCGTAATCCAGGTGGAGTGGGTTCCAAGAGAGAAATATAAAATGTGCGATGAATTCGTAAAGGTCCAAGTATGTCCAATTCGTATTGGTGTTTATCCAATTATTTTTTGATTGTGTAGGGGCTGTATTTCTGAAAATTAAGTTTTTTAGGGCGCTTGGTTTTCAAATTTCGCGTAAGTAGATATGCTTTATCTCTTTTTTTTAATAAAGGAGCTTTTAGATGCTTTTTATTATAGTAATGAGCTATTCATTCTTGAGAGAATTAAAGGTCTTTCCTAAGGATATTATAAAGATTCTTTATTTTTTCTATATATTCTTCAACATCAGATACGACTTTTTTTAGTCGGAGGAAAAATAAAAAGGCTTTTAAAATCCATCTACGCAAGACTTTATATGACAATAACTTCGTAGTTGAGTGTTGAGAGGTGTTGTATGCAAATTCGGTAGAAAAAAGAAGAAATATCCAATTTGTCTGCGCATAATTCACAAAACATCAAAAATATATTTCAAAAGTCTAAATCAGACGTTCTAAAGCATTATCCGTCTGAAAATATACCTTAAAAGCAATATTTAGTTTAGTACCAGTTTAGTTCATAACTGATTGCTAATACTTGCTCTGAAAGAGTCGATCTCGGTCGCAAATGTATTTGTATTAGATTCTGTATTTGGAAAAGATATGTTGGAGGTAGACATATTGGAATTCAATTGTTCCGAACTTTTCATGCCATGGTATGAAGATAGCGGTTTTCGAGAATTTACAAATGATAACTAAAATTTCGTTGAAGATGAAATTAGTAAGTAGATCTCGTGAAAATTGCATTCCTTGAATAAAATCATAGGTAATAACTTCAAAAGGTGCACAGGGTACGTCGTGAAGTTAGAGAGTTTTGTAGGGCTTATATCGATTGGGCTTATTTCGATAGTACATGTTGTAAGTTTTAATATATTCTTCGATATGTTTTCTCATATTAGGTTAGTAATATGATTTTGTTAGGAGTTTTTGAGTATGATTTACTCCTAAGTGGCCATAAACGGGGGAGTTGTGGTGTTGAGAGATAATTTCTGTTTGGAGTTTCTTCGAGGGAATGTAGAAAGTGTTATGAAATAGAATAATTCCATTGTAAAGTTTAAAATGTTAGGGGGGATTTTGAGCTCGTTTTAGTACTTGTCGTGTAATGGTGTTGTGCTGATAATTTTGTATAATTTTTCTTTTGAGCTCATCTTTTATAATATGTTCCGTAAGGTTGAGGACTTTGTTGATAGTAATATTGCGTCCTTATAGTTTGAGGATAGCACCTTTATCAAATTCTACTCCTTTCATTAGGTCCGATCATCAACTAATGGCGTCGGCAAATACGTTTTCTTTTCCTTTGAAATAGACAATTTTCATGTTATATTCACACAGAAGTTCCCACCAGCAGACTTGTCGTCTGCTGAGTTCTTTTATGGTGAGAAAATAAGTGAGATTCTTGTAATCGGAGAGGACAGTGAAGGGTTTTTTTGTTTGAAGGTAGACACACCATTTTCGACAAGCTTCTACAATAGTCATGAGTTCCTTATCATGTATAGCGTATCGTAGCTGGGTAGCGTCGAATTTGTGAAAGATGTAGGCAATTGGGTACCATTCTTTATCGGGGTGTAATTGTAGTAAACAAGCTCCAAGAGCTGCTACAGAGGCGTCTGTTTCAACTTTGATAGGTAATTTTAGGTCGTAAATTCTAAGAATTGGGGCGGATACGAAGGAATTTTTGAAGATATCGAAAGCGGCGATTCGTTCGGGCGTCATTTCGAATTTAACTTGTTTTTTTGTAAGTTCAGACAGTGCTGCTGACATGAAGCTATACTTTCGAATGAAATGTCGATAATAGTTGTAGAGTTCTAAAAATGACTGTACTTCCTTGACTTTTTGAGGGATAGGCCAATCCTGAATGGTTTGGACCTTCTTTGGGTCCATTTTAATACTATTAGAAGTAATTATGGCTCCTAAGAATTCACATTCGGTAACAGCAAATTCAGACTTTTCTTTTGTGTATTGCAAGTCGTATTTTTGTAGGGAGGCGAGGATTAGGTTGACATGTTTCTTGTGTTCTTCGAGATTTTTACTGTAGATCAAAATGTCGTCTAGATAGATAACACAGATTACATCGATGTGTTCTCGTAGAACATGATTTATGAAGGCTTGAAAAGATGCGGGCGCATTGGTTAGTCCGAAAGGCATAACCATATATTCGAACAATCCATAGCGGCATCTAAAGGCGGTTTTCCTAC